AGATTATTAAAATAATCTAAAAAATATTTTTTATTTATAGTAAAATACTATATAAACATTTATGAATTGTGACATTGTTAATATTATATACAATAAGAGATGATAGGGATTATTAGATATTAGTTTTTTATGCGGGATAAATAATTTTAATTTATATTCCATTTGTATTATTAATTAAAGAGTATCAACTAATAAAGATTTTATTTTCAAATATATGGACAAATCAATTTTTCGATTCGGTTCAGTTTGGTTTTAGTACGGTTTCGTTGTAGTTTCAGTACGGTTTTAGTATGGTTCGGCTCCTACTATCTCAGTTCTTTTTCAATTCAGTATGATTTCTCAGCTCGGTTCAGATCCCCAAGAACCATGCATGCCCTAGTGGCGGCAGAGTGTGTATACAGAGAGAAAAAGGTTGGTATAGAAAGTAGAGCAAAGGAGGAACAATTGTTAGGATCTGAGTTTAGTGGGATTATTTTCAAAATTAGACTTTGTTTTGGGGTGTTTTTAATTAGTCAAAGCCACTGGGCCAAGATAGTTTCAAAGAAATATTTTTGTATAGTTCACATTTTTTTTTAAGTGGATTATAATTTATGCGCGTGCATTTCACTTCTTTTTTACTTTTTTAAGTGGATTTGTTAGTAGAAGATCACGATAGAATCTCCACAAAGTGCAGGAGGTCACTAGGAGAAACGACGATAGTTCAAGCCCAAAATTATGTATTCGGCCTTTAAGTAACTCGTCCTCTCTCTCATCCTTTATCATCATCATGTACCACTATTTTAGTAAAATTTGAAAATCACTTAATTATCTTGTCATGGTAAATTAGGAAAAAAAATTCACAGAAAAACTACCTCATTAATCTCAGAAAAATTTTGAATTTCTCAATATAATTAGAAAGGAGCGAGTAATAGATGGATTTCAAATCATACTTATTAAATTTTTATCATACTTATTAAATTTTTATTTGGATGACTATAATTGCAAACCGTACTTTGAATTCTTATATGTAGCTGTGATTTTATGTACTTATAGAAGTATAAGGGGATTTAAAAATTGAAATTCTTCATGTCAAAAAAAAAAAAAATGAAATTCTTTGTCACTTACCTGAAAAATGTAAATTTGTTTTTCATATTACTTATTCAACATACATCTTGAAGTATATCAATAAAATATCAATATTATTGGTATTTGTGGTAATAACAATACAATTAAAACAAAGAATTATTAAAAAATAAAAATATTATAACAAGATTGAAAGTCCACAATAAAATGGACTAGACATCGCAAGAAGTGAATAATTTCCCAAAAAAAAAAAAGGTACAGAAACAACATGTCATCTCAGTTTTGAATGAATCAACAAGCACAGAAACAAGTACAAAAATCTTATAATATGGAAATTAAAACAACATGACTTATAACACTTCAAAACAATATCTTTGTCTCCTTTCCAAAAAAAAAAACAATACCTTAGTCAATTGGGTTGCTATCTAGAACTTTTTAAACCTGAGAAATGCAAAAAATAAAGGGAAAAGTAAACTCATACATCATCATTGTTTAGTATTCTTTCCAATGGTTTTTTTAGTCTGGTATTCTTGACATAGAGATGAATTTTCTCATTTTGGGTAACAATAATAACCACTCATTAGTCCTTTATGCCTCAGATTTCCATGATAAAATTTCAAAAATCATTAATTAGTTTCTACACATAGTTCTTCGCTCGGATTGAGAGTGCTACTTGGATAAAAATTTTCCATCCAACAGTGATTTCGTGTTTTAAACACTTGATCTTATAAATAAAGTTTGTTATGAAATGTAGCTTACTTTTTCTAATTCAATCGTCAGTTGGAATAATAATTCTTTTATCTTAAAAGTTTATGGATTCACACACTTAATAAAATAATAAACAATCTTATGTATGGTTTTCAATCTTTTATACTATTTGCTTTAAGTCTCCATGTTGGACATTAATTTATGCATGGACTAAGACTTTTCTGAGTCTTGTTGGTGTTGGGCATTTATGTACTGGCTGAATAGTCCACAATTTGTTTATTTCCTCTCCACAAATTTATAAAATCAATCATCAATTTCACATTGAAGGTCATGTTACGGCGGTGGGTATTGAATTGACTTCGAGGCGTAAAAGAAAACACTTCCTTTTAGGAATTAATTATCCCCACTATGAAAACTGCAGGGTTATGGCAATACTCCATTAGAATACAACAAAGTCTGAAATCCACAGAGAACGATTTCTCTGAGATTTTACTAAGAGCTTTTGAATAAGAAAATTAAGAGAGAAGAAAAAGACATTATTGTAGTTTAGAAGGAAACGTATTTTATAGATGAAAGTTTTCTGTTCATTTAGAAACATCACGCAAAAAAAAAATTATAAAATATAATTGTTTATTAAAAATTCAAAAATAAATAAATAAATGTATTTATAAATAAAATCTGTTATTTGAATGCTAAGTGCCATCTTTTGACATTTAAAATTACTTTATGAAATTTTAGATTCCCTCCAAAATACGCCATAGGATTCTATTTTTAAATTAATATCCTATACTACAAACATAATTTTAATTTTATATTTTTTTTCCATGTATGACAACTTTCTTTCTCGTATAAACCACATTCAAACAAGCTGTTACAATAGAGCATAAACTACAATATAACAAACATTACAAAGCCGGTTGAATACATATTGGATACTTAAAAAGAATGTCATATTAATTTTTTAATTTGAGATATTTTAAGGATTTTTATAGTACACTTCTTATATACTTTCTGTTGGTATGACCATGATTCCAAAACCACTGATTTTGATTTTAAAACCGACGGTTCTAGTTATAAAAAAAGTGGAATCAAAACTGAACCATTTTTAGATGGTTTTTAAAATGGTATTGAATCGCTGATTTCGATTTTATTCCGATTTTGAACCAAAATTAAATAATATATTTTAAACTTTTTAAAATGTTTTTTTAGATTTGTAGCTGGAATAAATACTAATAATAAATATTACTAATGAAAAAAACTAAACCAATTTAATACAAATTCTTAAAAGTTACTTTAAATAATTATAATAAAAAAAATAAGTTGAAAGTTTTTGTAAGAATATGTTTTTCACGGTTTCAAACCAAACTTTAAGTGTACGGTTTCGATTATGATTTGGAACCAGAACCGTTGACTACAGTTTAGTGCTAGTTTTGACCGGTTTGATTTCGGTTCGGTTCCGATTTAAAACTAAACCGTGATCATCCCTAACTTTGTGGACACTTTTAAAAATTTTATAAAATTTATAGGTAAAATTTATCAATAAAAATTTTTGAATTGAGGTTTCAAATATAAAAGGATAATTTATTCATACTTAAATTAAAAATTGATATATAAAACTAGGAAAAATATTTGCTGCATATCATATTCTCAAATTTCAAGAGGCGGTTTATAACATTGATTTCAAATTTAAGAACTAACTAGATGAAGGCCCGCAATTGTGCAGGTCACATCCGTATTTTTGTTATAAAATTCATTTCTCTGTGATTGCTTTATTAAATTTTCATGTTCTGCAGAAATTATAACATCAATAATTATAAAGCAAAGTTTTAGTTAGAATTTATTATTTAAACGTTTAAACATTGTTTTTAATCTTAGATAATTTTATATAGATAAAGTTCTGTAATTCAAATAATTCAATGTGGATAATAAAATAATAAATATTATTTATTATTTAATGGTAAAATATAATTTAGATAATTTTTATATAGATAAAGTTCCCTGTAATTCAGAATAATCCAATGTGGATAATAAAATAATATATTATTTATTATTTAATGTAAATAAATTTAAATTAATTATTACTAAACAATACATGTCGTTACAAATAATTTTAGTTTAGCAAAAGTACTGTAGTTAAATAATTAAATATAAATTAAATGTATATAATTTTTTATTTATTATTTAATGGTAAAATATAATTTATTAATTATTACTAAACATGTCGTTACAATAATTTAGTTTACAAAAGTACTGTAGTTAAAATAATTAAATATAATTAAATGTAATATAATTTTTTGTAGCAATCTATTAAATTATTAAAGATAATTTTATATCTATTATCTATTATCATATAAATAATAATAAATTCACTTGAATATACTTTGAATGTATAAATTTAATATGTTAAAAAGGAAAAAAATGCTTAAAAATTATTAAAAATTTGAAAATTTTGTAAAAAAAGATGAAAAGAAACACTTCAAGAAAAGGATGCCAAGTCAGCTTGATAGATAATTTTTTTGCTTCTATATATATATATATATATTCACAAGACAATAAGATCCGGTATGTGATTTTTATAATTTATTTAATTCAATTATTTATTTATTTATTTTTGTTTTCTGCTATAATCCTAAATCCTAAAAATTTGGCCATGACGACTTTTGATATAAACAATAAAGTAATCTGTGTCAGTTATGACTAGTAAGTATACGACTTTAAAAGAGATTTTAGAGCAAATTGTGTTGAAAACTACAACAAATTATGCAAGTTAATATTTCACATATGATAGTACTAGTAAGTACTAATTATATATTCTGAATATGCATTTCAGCACAGTGTATTTTCGACATATCGTGTTTTACTTTTTTAAAAATTATCATTCAGTATCGGTGTTGTTATACCGTGTCTTTTATTTTATGTCCATTTCTGTTTTATTTAGATCAATTTAATTACATGTAATTTGATAGTTGTTATATAATCTGATTCAAGATTATATGTTATTATTATAAACTAGAAAAAGAAAAACTTTTTTCCTATATGGACTTTCAATTTGGCGTTAATTCAACTTACCCGCACCAAACTTCGAGTACTTCAGTGACGCAGTCTTCGTTAACCTGGCTTAGTTAAAGAAAACAGGGGACCAAAAAAAGAGAAAGAAAAGGCCAACCTTTTTTGTGGCTAACTGCTATAAATACATCATGAAAGGTAGGCATATTCACCACCAAGCACATTAAACCAGAACAAGGAACCCATAGAAATGGGTCTTCTTCTTCTATCCCATTTCATGCAAGCACTTGCATTATTAACTCTCCTTCTATCTTCCAACTACATATTTCCTATTTCAAAATCTACTGCTCTAAGCTTAGAGACAGACAAGGATGCCTTAATCTTGTTCAAGTCTCAACTAAGCTCACTGTCTTCAAATTCTCTGTCTTCATGGAACCAAAACTCCTCTCCATGCAGTTGGACAGGAGTTTCTTGCGACAGATTTGGCCAAAGAGTGATTAGTCTAAACCTACCCAACTTTGGCCTCGTTGGCTCCATTAGCCCTTACATAGGCAATCTCTCTTTTCTTGAATCCCTTCAGCTTCAAAGCAATCAACTTACAGGAAATATTCCAGATGAAATTTCCAATCTTTTTAACCTTCAAGTATTAAACATAAGTTCCAACAGCTTACAAGGCTCAATACCTTGGAATATTAGTAAGTTAACCAAACTCACAATGTTTGATTTGTCAATGAATGAGATTACAGGAAAAATTCCAGAACAACTCTCTTTGCTTACTAGCCTTAAAGTTTTGAACTTGGGGCGAAATCGTCTTTTTGGTGCAATTCCATCATCAATAGCAAATTTTTCTTCATTAGAAGATTTGGTTTTAGGCACTAATTCTTTTAGTGGTAATATACCAATTGATTTAACCCGTCTTCAAAACTTAAAGGTTCTTGATTTGACTATAAATAATTTTACTGGTTTGGTTCCTTCCTCTTTCTACAACATGTCTTCTTTGGTTAATTTAGCCTTAGCTTCAAATAATTTGTGGGGTGAACTTCCAAGTGATATTGGTTTTACTCTACCAAATCTTTTGGTGCTAAATACTTGTTTTAATAAATTTAGTGGAAAAATTCCTGCTTCTTTGCATAATCTTACAAATATAAAAGTCATTAGAATGGCACATAATCTTCATGAAGGAACAGTTCCACCAGGTTTGGAGAATCTTCCATTTCTAGAAATGTATAATATTGGTTTCAATAGAATTGTTAGCTCAGGAGATGTTGGTCTTGGATTTGTCAATTCTTTAGTAAATAGTACCTATTTAAAATTCCTAGCTGTTGATGGAAATCTTTTGCAGGGTGTGATTCCAGAATCTATTGGGAACCTTTCCAAGGATTTGATGAAATTGTATATGGGAGGGAATTTTATTTATGGTACTATACCAGCTTCAATTAGTAGTCTTAATAGCTTGACTTTGTTAAATTTGAGCTACAATTCTATCACTGGTGAAATCCCGCCTGAAATTGGTCAATTAGAGAATCTTCAAATGTTGGGATTGGCTGGAAATGAAATTACAGCAAGAATTCCAGATTCTCTTGGGAATCTACGCAAGTTAAACCAAATTGATCTATCAGGAAATGAGTTAATGGGTCAAATTCCTGCAACTTTTGGCAATTTTCAAAGTTTGCTTTCTATGGACTTATCCAACAACAAACTCAATGGAACTATACCTAAAGAAATTCTCAATCTTCCAAGTTTAAGTACAATCTTGAACTTGTCTAACAATTTCTTGAATGGGAATTTGTCAGAGGAAGTTGGATTTCTCGAAAGTGTTGTTACCATTGATCTTTCCAATAACAATTTATCAGGTAATATCCCAAACTCAATCTTAAATTGCAAAAGTTTGGAAGAACTCAGTATTTCAAGAAACAAATTCTCAGGCCCTATTCCAAGAACTCTTGGAGAAGTGAAAGGGCTAGAAACTCTAGACCTTTCATACAACAATCTTTCAGGCTCCATCCCTATTGACCTTGAAACACTACAAGGACTTCAATCCTTAAACCTTGCGTTTAATGACTTAGAAGGAATAATTCCTTGTGGTGGAATATTTACAAATCTCTCTAAAATCCAATTACAAGGTAATCCAAAGCTTTCTTTTCATTTGGCATGCGAAAAAGCTCGTGGTCGAGGGAGAAGACTAATCAAAGTCTATATAATTGTTGCTATAATGGCAACATTAGCTTTGTGCTTTTTTATTTGTTCTTTATTCTATTTAAAGAGAAGAAGCAAAATGAAAGTCAGTCATCCTTCAAGCTCCATAAAGGAGAAGCATCGGTTGGTTTCATACCATGAGCTTCGCCAGGCAACTAATAACTTCAATGAGCAAAATTTGATTGGAAAAGGTGGGTTTGGATTAGTGTACAAAGGTTGCCTTGTCGATGGTTCCAATGTCGCAGTCAAAGTCATTGATATCACAAAAACCGGATTTCAGAAAATCTTTCTAGCTGAATGTGAGGCTTTAAGAAATGTAAGGCATAGGAATCTTGTTAAGTTGATCACTTCTTGTTCAAGTGTAGACTTAAAGAACACAGAGTTTCTTGCTCTAGTTTATGAGTTTCTTGTCAATGGGAGCCTGCAAGATTGGATTCAAGGAAAGAGAAGGAAAGAAGATGGAGATGGGCTAAATGCTGTGGAAAGATTAAATGTGGCTATTGATGTTGCTAATGGAATGGATTACCTGCATAATGACTGTGAAGTTCCTATCGTACATTGTGATTTGAAGCCTAATAACATTCTTTTGGATGAAGACATGACTGCAAAAATCGGAGATTTTGGCCTTGCCAAGTTGCTGATAGAGAAAATGGCCGATCAAACTTCAATCAGCTCAACTCATGTCCTTAAAGGTTCCATAGGGTATATACCTCCAGGTTAGTACCTTCATAATATTCTCTTTTCATTCAAATATCGTTCATAATATTCTCTTTTCATTCAAATATCGTTGAGATTACTTTAACAACATAAATGTCTGAATCTAAGATATTCTATTCCAACAATATTTTTCAAAACATTAAATAGAAATTCAGCTATAATCGAATATCGAATCAAAATATTGGATTTTGGTCATGTTCGAATTTCTACTAAATTTTATTGAATTAGTATTCTAGAGATGTAAAAAAAAAAAAAAAAAAAAGTGATTAGTAGAAAATTCAATTAATTGAATATTCACCCCCTAAATTTAATTATTGTAATGTACAAAAGGGTCTTGTTAACCAAACAAATAGAAAATTAAAATTTTATTTCAAGAGCTGCATGTCCTTTCTAATTCCAGATTGGAAAGTACTTGCCTAAACCCACCAATGAAATTAAGAATTCTTTAGAAAGTATTCACGTTTTATTTTTTTTTTTTCAACTGTATGGTCAGAAATACCATCGTTTCAATAATCATCTTTAGCTTTCGTTTGTTTCTGAAAAATAACTTATATTTGGAACATATTTTCGAAAGAAAATTTTTTTTCTTGAAAAATATTTTCCAAATGACTTATTTTCCATTTGGTTGCGATATTGAAAATTAGTCAAAAATATTAAAAATTTTAATTCATAAGACCATAATAATAATAATATAATAATGTAATTTTCGTATTTTAAAAATTTTACTGTTAAATATGAGAATAATGCCAAAAAAAATGGTAAATTATGAAAGTCACGGTCACGGTCAACGATGGTGGTGGCCGGTGGTAAATGGTGAGTGGTGGTAGTGACTATCAATAATTAATAAATTAAAAATAATGGATTTATAAGGTTATAATAAGTTTATCTAATTCTGAAAAATATTTTAGGCTCTTGAAAATGGAAAGTCATTTTCCGTTAATCCAGAAAATATTTTCCGTTGACTTATTTTCCTAAATGCCCCAAATAACGAAAAATTGTGAAAAATATTTTCTTACAAATTATTTTACGGAAAAAAATGGAGCATTAATTTCATTGGTACGGTCTATATGTGCAGCTATGGACCCAGTCTAGAAAAGTTTTTGTCTTCTAGATCTAACCGAACTTGACCTAAATTTATATAAATAATTTGATGAACCCTTATTTGGTTAATACATATGCAGAGTATGGTCTAGGGGTAAAACCATCAACAGCTGGAGATGTATACAGCTTTGGAGTGATGTTATTAGAGTTATTTACAGGCAAGAGCCCAACAGATGACATTTTCATGGATGGTCAAAATCTAGTTGGATGGGTGGAATCAGCTTTCCCTGCTAATGCACTACAAGTGCTAGACCCTGAGCTGATACCATTTGCGAACGATTTTGAGAATGATGGAAAATCTGAAAAAATACATGATTGTTTGATCACAATTCTTGGGATCGGGTTGGCTTGCTGTGCAACTTCTCCTGATGGTCGCATCAGTATTAGAAATGCTCTTTCGAAGCTCAATGGTGTTAGAAACCAAATTCTTTATCCCTGTCCTACACAAGAAGCCATGTATTGGTTGATTATGAGCAATATGTTTAATTAATTCTGTATCTGTATGTTGGTTTTATTACTTCACATCTGTATAGGAAAATTACATATAAATATATATCTGATGGTTGTTAGGAAAATCGCTATTTTTCCCGCCCTTCGGATCGGCTTTAAGTAGGAATAAATGAGAAAATAAAATAATAACTGAGAAATTAAAGAGAACACGATATTTTTCGCTATTTTTTTCCGCCCTTCGGATCGGCTTTAAAGTAGGAATAAATGAGAAAATAAAAAATAATAATGAGAAATTAAAGAGAACACGATATTTTAATGTGGAAAACCCCCAAGTGGAGAAAAACCACGGCCGTTGCCAAACGACAACCAAGAAAAATATTCACTATGCGGAAATTGTTACAACACATTACAAAATATTTTTCTACCAGACACCCTCCAAAACACCCCAAATATTTTATACTCCAAGGGATTCAAAAAGAATTCCCTATAAACACGTTCAAGGTTTTTGGTGTGTTTTTGGTGTGTTTGGAAAACCCTAAAACATTGCTCGCATTTTATAGCCAAATCACTTACCTTCACTTTGCTTATCTCCCCGATGTGGGATTAAAGCAAAAAACTAATTTTTTATATTTTTTTTCTTTTGGTTTTCAACAACGGCGGTCTAACATCCTCCAACCTTGAAAATAAAAATAAAAAAAACAACAACATTGTCTGCTACCCGACAATCAATAATTCTTATCGTCAAGATTATCATACTCCACCATAAAAAGAGTATCGCCACTTAGAACCACTTTACCCGACTCCAAAGAATTTCCATCGCCATGTCGGATACCGCTAATAATTTATGTGCAAACCCTCCTGTTCTTTTCCGGAGAGTTCATTAGCCATCGAACATATTTTTTTTTTACCACACCACTTTGCATCAACTGTCCAACAATGCCGTGCGCATTTCTGTGAAACCAGCCCACCAATTAATCCATCCTCTTCATGGCCACTCAACGGGTAGCAATCACCATGAGGACACACATCTCTCAATTAGCAAGAGAACACATCATCTCCTTCGCCACAGGAGATCACATTGGCAGCAACAAACGTTAGAGCTTCCTAGCCGAATCAGCTCCACGTTCGGGCATCCTTCCTCACGTGTTCCAGTTTGACCACAAACCCAGCAAGACAACCTTCCTCTTTCTGGAGCTTTTATTCTTTTTCTTGGTCCGACAAATAACAGCTGAATCTCATATGATTTATTTTTTCATTTCATTCAGTTTTTCTCCTCCTCAGTAAAGGAGCTTACTAACCACATCTGCATACACACTTCCTTACTACCGATAATTTCAGAACAGGTTCCATGTGCTCAATATGTCCGTCGAAGGAAGTGACAGGATGAGTCGGAGAGTTTTATCTTCATCTTCGGTTTGCACTCCAAGAGTTTCTAATTCAGAGACGATGCCATTAAGAACACTCAGATGATCTGACAGCTTTGTATTTTCCGCCATTTTCAACGTATGAAATTGCTCCTTCAAATATAACCTATTGGATATATTTTTGCCCTGGTACAATTCTTCCAATTTCTCCCACAACTTCTTTGTCGTGGACAATCCAAGCACATTAGCAAGAACATTTTTTGCTAGACACATGCGAATTTGACTTGCCGCTTTGATATCCACTTTGCCGCTTTGATTCCAGTCTCCTCCAATTCCTTTCACGAATATTTGGATTTATTATACGTCTCCACTGCTAACTTGTTCTTTTTCCTGAATTCCTTTTCGCTAACTGGTTTTACCCTTTCAAAACCTTTAAATGCAGTCCAACTGAATCAACACGTCTTTTTACTTGCACTTGCCACAGTGCAAATTCATTTTCCCGTCAAATTTCTCAATCTCACATCTCCATAGCCGACAATGCTACTTGTCTTAATAACATGAACCTAATAATTAGTGGAGTAAACCATAACTTCAATAATTATCGTCAGGACCTTCACCACCGATACTCAAGCACACCAAAGCAAAGCTCCACCCGCTTCAAGACTTCCAAAACTCCGCCTGCTTTTAAAATAAAATAATTTCTAACAACAGTATTTCTGATGTGAAAGATCAGACTAAGTGGCAACCACAGTGCATACTTATAATTTAAATTACAAGAAATTATTTTAACACTAAAAGCTCCGCCTAACAACTAGGCTCTCATACCACTTGTTGGGAAAATCACTATTTTCCCGCCCTTCGGATCGGCTTCAAGCAGGAACAAATAAGAAAATAAAATAATGACTGAGAAATTAAATGATGAGAAATTAGTAGAACACGATATTTTAACTGTGGAAAACTCCCCAAGTGGAGAAAAACCACGGGCCGTTGCCAACGACAACCAGAAAAATATTCACTATGCGGCAAAATTGTTTACAACCACTACACAATATTTTTCTACCCGACACCCTCAAACACCCCAACATATTTTAATAGCTCCAAAGGGATTCCAAAAGATTCCCTAATATAAAACACGTTCAAGTGTTTTTTTGGTGTGTTTTGGTGTATTTGGAAACCTAAACATTGCTTCCATTTTATAGCCAAATCTACTTAACCTTCACTTTGCTTATCTTCCCCGATGTGGGATTTAAGCAAAAACTAATTTTTTATATTCACTTTGCTTATCTCCCCGATGTGGGATTAAGCAAAAACTAATTTTTTATATTTTTTTTTCTTTTGTTTTCAACAACGGCGGCTAACAATGGTAAGTTTTATGAATCTATTTTTTGTTGTGAGCTTCATATATGGAAAATTAGGCTTCGGAGACTCTGGAAATGAAAATTTTAACATCAAGCCAACCCAATTAAATTGGATTAGTGGGGAACTCTAAATTAAAATTTCAAATAAAAAAATCAAATCTTGTGTAGTGAATTTATGTTGAATAATAATTCACTAGTACACAGCTAAAATAGAAATTAAGAACTAAAACCCTCAGACAAATTCAGGTAAAAACTATGAGCAAATTCATTATGAAAGGGTTAAAAAAACAATTACTCTATTGTAATAGGAGAAAATACTAAAAGAAGAAAACCGAATAAGATGAGCTAGTTAAAAAACAATTCCTTCTTTTGTTTTGCAAAGTCACTACAATTACAATTGGAATATTCAGTTTCCAAACTTACATAAAATATTTTGCTGGAAAATGTTTTTATTTTTTATTTTTGTAACAAAGGAGAGCAGAACAACTATCTCAAGAAACTAATACCACAAATATCAACTAAAGCATCAAAGAAATAAAAATTGGCGCAGAATCTCATACATATGGAGAGGATGAGATAGAATGACCCAACCTTGCCAAATGATCTGCTCCAAAGTTACCTTGACGAAGAATATGTTGTAAAGAACTACTTCAATGTCACAACAAGATTCCTTGAATATCCAAAATGATAGCTGTCAAGTGATGAGATGAAGGCAAAACAGCTTCCAAATTGTCTATCTCAACAATAAGAGAACGAAAACCACGTTTCCAACCCAAAAGAAGACTAGCCCGAACAGCCAATGACTTCCCCACTAAAATGATAGCGAAATCAATATTAAGAGAAAAATCTCGCAACCATGAACCAATACAATCCCGGAAGAAACCACCATATCACTAATTAGACCGGAATTTGAAAGATTGCTTCCATCACAATTAAGTTTCATAGAGTCCTCAGCAGGTGGAATCCAAGCAACATGAACCCTGTTACCAACCTTAACTGGATAAACTGAAACAAAAAGCATAATATCCATAGCCACCTTAAAAACATGAGTCACGTGAGAATAAGATAATATATACCAAAGATTTTACTGAAAAAGATTTTTGCTATTAATATTTAGTGCTCCAAATTTTATCATGTAGTATCAAATATTACATCCAAAATTAAAAATCTAAACCTCAATATATTTTCTCAAAATTAATTATATTTGATTTGAAAGGGCACAATTGAGTGATTTTAGATAATTAGAGCATCTTATTTGAGGATTTTATAAATCGATTAAAAGATTTTAATTTTTATAGAACACACTTTATCATAAAGATAACTTTGGATTTCATAAATTGAATCTTCCTCCAAATGAAATTATATAATTTTGTAATTTGTAAATTTTTAATCTTAAATATAATAGATGTCTACAATTTAATGGATTCTGAAAATTTCTTAATTCGAAGCCTAAAATTCAATAAGAATCTAAATCCCAATTATCTGTTTGGGCTTGCAAGCCCATTTTCTTTGGTTTGAGAGTTGCATTTTGAAAAATTCTCACTTTTCATCCAAGAAGAAATGACAAAAGCTCAAAACATGGTAGCAGAAGTAGACAAAAACCTCTCAAAAAATCCCTTTTTTTCCCTCACTCTGCTTTGCTTATGCTTACTAGTAGCTATCTTCAGATAAAATTTCCTTTGTAACCCCCACCTCTACTCCTTATCTTCTCTTATCTCCCTTTCCTCAACAATGGCTAACGATGACTCGCCTTCCGAACTCACCGATTCATTAGAAGACCCAATGCTTGAACCAGAACCAGAACCAGAACCAGAAGAAGAAGACCAAGACCCAGATGCAGAGAAGCACTCCTCTTCATCTACAATGCTTGAACCAGAACCAGAACCAGAACCAGAAGAAGAAGACCAAGACCCAGATGCAGAGAAGCACTCCTCTTCATCTACAGATTCCGATTCTGATTCAGATTCGGATTACGACTATGACTATGACTATGCGCCCGGCCAAGGAGCAACTGTCTCCTACATTCGTCCTGGCGACGAGCCGCCGCCGTCTGATAACACACCGGAAATCAACATTTCCCGCTTTTCACAGGTGCTTGATAGCAAGCAAATGAAGGAGAGTGAAGAGGAGGAGGAACGAAATTACACTTATTATGAGGACTTGTTTAATTTTCCTGAAGACAAGGAGAATTGGAGAGAGGAGGATTTGAAAGAGCTATGGGCAGATGCTCCATTGGAAATGACGAAACCTGGGTGGGACCCAGTTTGGGCAGATGAGGAGGATTGGGAGATTATGAGGAAGGAGAAGGAGGCAGGGAGAGACCCGCCTATTGCTCCCTTTTATCTGCCGTATAGACCACCGTACCCGGTTATTCCTGATAACCATTATGATATCTCCAATCCCAAGGCGGTTATTGAGGAATTGGATAGAATTGAAGAATTCCTCACTTGGGTTAGCTACATTTTCCCTGATGGAAGCTCGTATGTTGCTTGTTCTTTGTCTCGAGTTCCGTTTTTTTTTTTGAGTTATCAAAGGTTATTTTTTCTTGTCCAAAAAAAAATTTTTGTACACTTTGTTGCATTATATTTGATGGCTTATGCCACTGTTATTGAACTGCATGAATGTACATATAGGTAAATTGGTATTCTGTTAGTTGATTGTTTTTGTGTATTTACCACTAGTTATGAATTATGCATGTTCTGTTTTAGTAGATGTTAAGATATTGGAGCCTTTAGTTGATTTGAATGGTTATAAATCCATATCCTGTTTGTTGTTCTTTCCGCCATTGTCATTCTTTGCCAAGTAGTTCAGGTTCATGTACTACTTCGATGAGTGATTCATGAGGTCAATAGGGCATCGTTTAAACACTCACATGGATTCTCTAAATGCATGTTTCCCCCCTCTCTTTTGTTTCTTTGTTTTAGCTTGTGTATATAACGGAATTTTTTTTTTTCATTATCATCCATTCATAGGTAGGGTGAGGTTATTGTTGTTATTATTGTTTTAAGGGAGATATCTACATTTCTCTTGAAGCAATCTTGCTCCTTTCCCTTCCTATCCCTTACTAGAGACACCGAGTTCGAAAATAGCTCTTTAATGCATTTCCTTTTATTTTGTTGTTGTCAAGCTATGAAGGCACTGTGTGGGATGACTTGGCTCATGGCAAGGGTGTGTACGTTGCTGAGCAGGGTCTAGTCAGGTTTGTGTTTACTCTCTGCTAAACATCAATAGCTCTGCTTTTATTTACCCTTATAATACAACTACATGGTATAGGAGGTAGTCATTGCTTCAAGCAGTAATTACGAAAAAAGCATGAGGAAATATGTAAATATTGGAAGAGTAGCAGTGAAGTACTGCAATGCGTATCTACATAATATTGCTCAAATTATATTGTTCAAAAACTGAAAAAGCTTCTGCACTTGCTTTTTAGACCTTTACATGGCATTTAGCTGTCAGTAATTTGTTACAATCTAAATCTGAATGTTAGCTCAGAGCTGTCTGAAACTGAAAGTCTGGTTTATGTGTAAGAATGTAAACTTTTTTTTTTTTTTTTTTTTTTTTTTTTTTTTTTTTTTTTTTTTTTTTTTTTGTTGAAAGACATGACTTTATGATATATGGGATGAAATAATATGCATGAAGTCACTTTAGATTCATTTGCATGGTTTGTTCGATCTTACTACATAACTATATCTCATAATTTTTTTTTTTTTTTTTTTTTTTTTTTTGTTGAAAGAACATGAACTTTAAGATATGGGATGAAATAATAAAATGCATGGAAGATCACAAATTTAGATTCAATTTGCATGTTTGTCGATCTATACATACATAACTATATCTCATGAATCTGCAAATCAATTGATGAATTTGGGTTAAGGTCTTGGGATAGGCGGGGACAATAGGAACTCAATTTATTGCCATTGAAAATGCTATTTTGGTAACAAAACCTTTGTCCAAGGCTTATTCCTTCCTCCCATCCCCCCTTCCCCTCTTTTTCCTCTCCCTCTTCTTCCCCCTTCTCTCTTTCTCTCTTAATTAAATGCAGAGTCTCTAAACTTACCAAATAGTCAAACCTTCTGCTTGGAATTTGTGGTTATTTCCTTACTCTAGGTATGAAGGTGAATGGCTTCGGAATAACATGGAAGGACATGGAGTTGTTGAAGTTGATATTCCTGATATAGAACCTGTGCCAGGTTCCAAGTATGTTTATTATCTCTCTCTCTCTTTCACCACAATAGTATTTAACAAGTACAGTCTATAGCGTCATTTTCTCTGCAATATAAAATGAATCAAGTTGTTTTTCATCCATCTTCAAAGGCTTGAAGCAAAGATGCGTGCTGAAGGGCATATAATATCAAGAGATTATATGTCACCAGAAGACAAAAAATGGCTGGAGATGGATATTGAAGATAGCATTCGTCTGGCTGGAGGAGAGTATGAAATACCTTTTTATGAAAATGATGAATGGATCAAACAATTTGGGGAGAAACCGTAAGTCTCTTTGTATCATCATGCTGTGGCTATTTCCGCAATTAACATTATTCCCTTTTGTTACATAATTTTTTAGCTGTAATCAAATCTTCATGCGTTGCTAATATCACTGTGATCATAATCTGTGTGTTCTAACTTGCATCAATGTCTGTGAGAGAAATGTAGCTTTTCTTATTCAGTTAGAATTTGTTCGTTTAATGAATCTTAGTAAGAGTGTGAAATGCAGCTGTGAGCTTGTTGTTCCATCAGTTGATAGTGTGGTTTTAGCCCTATTCTTGTTCCTTTCATTGACAAGGACACTAAATGAAGTGGTTGTTGTTACCTTAAGAGTTTACCGAAAATATTATAACTGATGCAACCCCAAAGAAGAGAGGAAAACAATTGAATTCTTAAGGTGATTGCAATAAATCAGCCTTAAACAAAACATTCTTCAATGGAAAACATCTTTAAGTAGTTGTTAACTTCACGTTGGCAGTGCAATTTGTCTAAGGAACTTAAGAAACCAAAATGAGACAAAAGCAAGTTATATGTTCATTACATAGCAGTCAACTTGAATTGTCTTTAAATTCTTAACTTATCTTGGTAATGGAGGTGCTTGCGCAGTGCAAGACATTTTGCTTCAATGTCTTGAAAACACACGAGTACTTCTATATTATGAAGACTTGTTTTCTGGGATTACTGATGAATGATAATAGTGTATGCCAGGGAAAAAGGTCGGTACCGTTATGCGGGCGAGTGGAAGCATGGAAGGATGCATGGATGTGGTGTCTATGAAGTGAATGAGCGTGTACTATATGTAGGTACCTGAAATATGAGCACTAGTTTCAAGACTAATAGAAATCGAAGTTTATTTCTCTTCAAGTCTTCTACAGTCTAAAAGATCCAATTTTTCTCATAAATATTGTGCCTTAATTTAAAATGACTTGAAATTAGATTAAACTTTGTAGCTCAAGATGTGCATAATGTAATGATAAAATTGTCATAGAATAGTTTTCTAATTTTGTAAATGCTCTGGCTTTTTTCTGCTCTGCTTCTCTTAGTGTCCTGTAGGATCTCTAACATTTAGTGAATGAGTCAAGGGGCAGTTGCTTTATCAATGGTATTTGTCTTGGGTCCAACTGAACAAGCAAGTTGAAATTTTAAGAATCCTGTGTTTGCGTAAATACTGGAAGTTAGGACTATACTCCAAGTTATTTATGACTGAACATCAATGTCGGAAATTGTTAGGTAAACACATTTCTTTTTTAGTGGCTAACTGCATTTTATACATGTGTAGGGAAGGTTTTACTTTGGGGAGTTTGTGGATGAGGCTACCGATTGTGATGAGAATATTTCAGCGGTATCTTATGATTTTCTTTCTTTTAAAGTGAAATAAATCTTACCAGCTTAAACGTATTTTTCTAAGACATGTTCTTTCAGTTGCATGCAGGAATAGCAGAAGTTGCTGCTGCCAAGGCTCGGATGTTTGTTAACAAACCAGATGGAAGTATGTCTATTTATGCCATTTAATTGATTTTCGTAAGACGATAGCAATATTGATTATTGAATTGCAGAGCACAATGCATGCGAGCACTGGGAATGTTGAGACAACTGAACATATAAGATATCTGACTTGAAATTATAACTGATCTGGTTATTATCTTATTATTGGGAGAAAAAACATAATCCTGGTGATTGATTTAGAAGTGTTTGATGGAACAAGTTATATCTTGATATAGAATTAAAACAAGCAATTTCAGACTCTTATTTGTTATTCTTAACTGCGTGCAAGTTTTATTTTGTTTCGTAAAATTATTGTGCATTTATTCATTCTATGACCTTTAATTTATGAATGACTTTTAGCATTTTGCCCACAGTGGTCAGGGAAGAGAGGGGTCCATATAGCGACCCCCAGCATCCTTATTTCTATGAGGAAGAAGATGTGTGGATGGCACCAGGCTTCATCAACCAGTTCTATGAAGTAAGTGAAGGTTTTTCTTTTCTTCCTCATCTTCTTTAGTTGTTTTTAGATCGTGCACAGTACGAGTAATATCTGTGCTCAACTGGCAGGTCCCTGATCTTTGGAAAAGATATGTTCATGATGTGGATCAGGAAAGAGAAATGTGGTTAAACTCCTTCTATAAAGCTCCACTGAGATTACCTATGCCTGCCGAGCTCGAGTACTGGTGGTCTAAAGGTTTCATCTCTCTCCTTGTATCTGTCATGCTTGTGTACATGGATCCTTGTCCTTTTGAGGATTTTGCTTTTGCTATATCGAACAGCAGAAATGCCATTGCACTCTCTAATTATCAGGATTCAAAACTTTAAACAAGTTCCTTTTGCTGCTCATGTGGTTCTTTTTCTTGAAACTTCATTATTTTATTCCTTGATCAATTCAGCCTACTTCAGGTATTTGGCTAATTTGTGAAGCAAAAGCCAATTGGTAGAATTCCTTATCTGGAAAACAATTAGGTTTCCTTTCATTTGAAAACTTACTGATAAATAGCTAAGCCAACCTGTTCTTGTGGCTCATTGCTCTTGAAAAGGTTTTTTGCTTGTCAAAGTTCTTACCTTGCACACCCTCCAGTAAAGACAGCATAATGAGCAACTCCCCAGGCATGCAATATTATTCCTGGGCTCTGGATATTGGTAATTATGTTTTGCTTGACTGCTTTAGGTTAGTTGGTAAAAAGATTTGAGCCCAATAACTTGCTAGTATATAGGATAACAGTTAGGTTGAAGCTCATCCTCTATGGTCTTTCATCTTGGCAATGAGAAGACATTGGCCTTTTTCATTGTGATGAACAAAGTTCCAAAGATGACATGGGCGTCTTTTGCTTCACTGCTTTTGTAGCAAACTGGATGCATTTGTTTGAAAAGTTGATGACATTTTGTATGAACAAGTAGCATGTAATTCCTAGTTCTAGTGTTAGACAAAATGGTTCAAACTAATTTTCTTTTGAAGTTTAAACAAAAGTAGATCTATTTCTCCCTTGCTTCAAGCCAATTGTTTTAGGCTACCTGCCTTTTTGATTTATTTCTCCCGTGTCATCTGGTGTCTTTTCTTCAATCTAGCCTTTCGCTGATAGTTTATGATCTTCCACATTCGTTTGACCAGATGAGGATCCTGAATTTGTCATCCTTAACAAAGAACCAGAACCTGATCCTGAAGACCCATCAAAACTCATATATACTGAAGATCCCGTTATCCTACATACAAGAACAGGACGAATAATCAATTTCATTGAGGATGAGGAACATGGGGTTCGTTTGTTTTGGCAACCTCCTCTAGAAGATGGAGAAGATGTGGATCCAGAGAAGGTTCAGTTCCTACCTCTAGGTTTTGATGAGTTTTATGGAAAAGAGACTGTAGTGGAGAAGGAAAATATATGGCAGCGCCTTATAACGGCAGTGGAAAATGCATGCAAACCAGTGTTTGACAAACTAGAGAAATGGACTGAAGAGAAGAAGAAAGCTGGTGAGATGAAAATTAAGCTCCTTGAAGAAGAACTTGCACTTGCAGAGGCTGAATTGTCTTTGGAAGAGGCCATTGAGGATATGGATGAGGAATTGAAGATGCAAGAGAAAGAAGAAGAGGAAAAGGCAGCAATGGATTTGCAGGAGGAAGAGGATACTTCTGCTTCACCTACCCAGGATCAGAAGCCTATGGCTGAAGAGGAAGAAGAGGGTGAGGAAGAGGAGGATGAGGACGAGGAGGATTTTACACCATCAAGTTTTGGATCTGTAACCCGTGATGAAGGCCCAACAAAGAAAGATCAGAAAGGAAATGGACCTGGGGAAACTCCTTTCTCTTCATGTACATTGTCATTTGCTTCCAGCAGCATTCTTTCATCTGTAAGTTCTATAACCAAAATATTTTTGGTTTCTTTTCCATATGATTGTTATCCATTGTAGTTGTAGATGTTGAAGATTAATTCGGAAGAAAATAATTAATTTGTAAAATGACTCGCTTAACCAGGGATTTACTAAGGTATTCTTAATCATCTAACCATGAAAGTGGTTGTGTTCCTACATAAATAGTTACATATAGATCATAGATTTTTTTTCCCCCCTCAATTTTATCATTTAGGAATTTTTTGGATATTCATTAGTTGGGTCTCCTAGAAGATGCCTGATATTTTCATTGGACTTTGATACGGACATTTTGGTATTGATTAGGGTGCTCTGGCACTTGATTTATTGGTGCATGTTTTAGTGTTCTCCTTTAGATCTATAGGAACAGTTACAAATATAATTTTTCATCTCATTTGGCAATTCCCACTTAACTAGATCAATTTGATACTTGACTCTGTCATTTCTTGCTTGCAGGTTCCATGTAGGTTACAACAATCTTTTCTGGTATGGAAGAATAGATTACAACAAAAGCCAACCCCTCCATTGCAAGTAGAAAGCACTGATGTCCTTTCAGGAAGGGTTAGCTCTGTCACTTTTCCCACGATCATTGGCCAAAAAGGAAGCTTGAGAGCTAAAAGCTATGTGAACCAGAGGTTTCGACCAAGAAACTATTCCAGTGGAAAGACGTCTCAGTTACATTCCTTGTCCCGAATTTTGTCATCTCCTTCAGCTTCAGTAAACCCCAAAAAGAGACTAAAGGTTTCAAGAAAACAAAGCCATACTTGGCTGCATGCAGCACCAGAGACAGATTCAGACAGCATATTGTCATTGCACTCCCAAGTATTGTTCAGTACCACATCCTGAAACAGCACCGTGAGCCTTTTCTTAATTGGAAAAAAATCCAATTTTATAGACACCACGGCATCGTCTTTGTGAATTTTTAGAGTATACTTATCCTTGACTAGTTTGAGGTGGTGAAAGAAATATGAGCATACAAAGATGCTGTAACTCTAAATTGGGAGAAGTAACTTTTGAAGCTATTGATTCCTGGCCTAGGTTCTCAATTTCATACATAAAGTAACCTGGATTTTTTCTTCATAACAGAAGAATGATACGTCTCTTATGGGATATGCTTGATCTATTCTTAATTATTAAAATTTAAAAGGAACAGGAAAAAGATGTGTGACATCTATTTTGCAGGGCGTTTCAACAAAGATAAGATGCCTCAAATCATTATAAAACTTTCAAGACCTTTGTTATCAAAGATGCTTTTTCTCGTGTGGTGGCGAACAATGCAGCTTGCGTTGCGGGAGATGCCCGCCCGTAGGGCCCGGCCTGCTTCTCGCCCGAAAGAACCGCTCACTAGCTAGCCGGACTAGTGGGCGGCTTGTTTGTTTGCAAATAAACAATTTTCAGAACATTTTGAATGGATTGCAAATGAGTTGAAACTGCTTCAATTATTTGGAGAAACATAAATATTATAGGAATATCCCAAACAAATTCAGCTAATACTTTTAATTTTGTCAATTATTACTTTAAACTTATTTTCCCCTATCAATTACAATCTCACACAGGAGTATGTTAATTTGTTGTTTATTTGACTGGTTAGTTGACCCCATAACACGCTAACTCACATATACATGTTCATTCGCCTTAAGACAATCTCCTTTTCATCCCATTGTAAGTTTGGAAGAATTTAATACAGTTATGTAATCAGCAGGCTCTTAATAGACCCTTGGTGAGTAACTCGCACTGTTGCTAATCCCAAGGTCTATCAAGTATATTTCTTCCTTCTCAAAATTACATCACTCGATTGCACTCAATCGAACTCTAAATAAATACTATAATTGTTAATAAAAAATAAATACATAGTATTAATCAACAAAACTAAAAGTGTTGGTTAATTTTGAAAAAGAAAAAAACTCAAAGTTGAGATTTTTTTTTTTCGGTGATTAAGCGTTAGACTAATGATGAAATAAAATTAAATATCAATTTACAAGTGAGCTGTTATGAGTTGTGATTGCATTATTTATAATGTAGATGGAAATATCAAATATTTTTAAAATCTGAGTTGGCCAAGTTGCTGCCTACTTTTTCAAATGTTAGAGCTCCATAAAATCCCATTTGATTGGAAGATAGTTATTGTATTTTTATATTGTTACCTCTGCTGCTGACTCACTTGATTGGCCCACTGCAAATCAAGTCTATGTTATCTAATTTTATAGCCCAGAGAGAGCCTTAACCTACAAAAGAGTGAAGAATCAAAACTCAAAAAAGAGATTTTACATCAAACACGTTTATACCATCTCCGATGCTAAATATTGATAGCATCCGAAAAATGTATTATATTCTAAAATATTTTTCATATTTATAGTTTCAAAAAAGTAAAAATTTTTTTTTTACATATTTAATTTTTTTATATAATCAATAATTATTATTTTAATTTTTTAAAAATTTAGTGTTTAAATATATTAAATTAGAGATAATATAATTAATTTATTCAATAATTTATTATAATTTATCTCTTAAAGGTCATAAATTCCAAATATAACAAATATTTAGAATCGGAGATAGTAATTGTATCACATAAAAGCAATTCATTTAAATAAATAATTAGTAGGAAAAGACTATTGTAAATTTAATTCTGACCATGTTTGGCAATATTTTTTCATGTAGCATTTAGCATTTTACTCAAGTCAAAATATTATTTATGGTGTGGTCTCTATTATTATTTAAAGTTTAAGGCATGGGCCGCACTAGAACATGTACAGTGTCAACTTTTAAATAAACATTTACAAAATAGGAACAAATTGATTAAAAAATTTAAAAAAGTATATATTAAGTAAAGAATTTTAGAATTTTTAATTTAATTGATCCCACTAAAAATTAAATTAAATAATGACCTCACTAAAAATATTTTTAGCTCCCTCATTAATTGGAGAGAATGATCTATGAAACTTATGTCTATGTTTCATTTTCCTATTTATTTTTAGAAAGTAAAATAAAGGTGTAAAATGATACTATTTATTTTTTTTCTCAAAATAGAGTGAAAATTAAGTTAAAATAAGTGTAAAATAATTTTATTTTACACCCTCTTTCATATTTTTAGCCAAACCAAACAATGATTTTGATAATTCCAAGAAATTTTCATCCTCTATTTTACATCCATCCATATTTTAATGTTGCATAAAACACCAGCAAAATAGCTACTACCTACTAAAATAAATAATTTTATCGAATATGGAATTTATATAATACACAAAAAAAACTGCAGTTTTCTCAATATAATTTTTTAAAATTTAATGACTAAAAAATTCATTTTTATATAAACTGGAGTTGATTATCATATCTTCACTCTAAACAAATGTGAAGAAACCGATAATAAAATTTAAAATCAATAATTAGATAATTTATGTTATTTATGGATATGTTTTTTTCCTACGGGGAAAGAAAAAATAAAAAAAGAAGGGGATAAAGATACATCTCTCTTTGTCCATCGAAGCCACCATGAATTGGGTTGGGACCATGTGATCAAATGCAATGCATCTAACCAAAAAAAAAAAAAAAAAAAAAACTAAACAATATGGTGAAGAAACCGATAATAAATTTACATCAAATAATTAGCACTAAATTTATTGTTATTTATGGATATGTTTTTTTTCTACGGGGAAAAGAAAAAAATAAAAAAATAGGAAGGGGATAAAGATACATCTGCTTCTTTTGTCCATCGAAGCACCATGAATTGGGTTGGGACGATGTGGATCAAAATGCATGCATCTAACCAAAAAAAAAAAAAAAAAAAAAAAAAAAAAAAGAGCTCATAGTGACACTTCTTTAATGCCACTGTGTCATAAGTTGGTGACACATTGGATGCTGACTGCTGAAGTGGAACTGTTCAAAACCTGCCACGTTCACTGAGTCAGAGTTTGATCGAGTTTTAAATGCAGGTTAAAATTTTATCGATAAAATTATTAGAAAAATGATTAATTTCTTAAAAAAAAAAAAGATAGTTTATTAATATATTGTTTAATATTTTGATTAATTAAGAGAAATCAGGTGGATATGACATCTTTAACCTGCACAATAAGACATTATCTAATGATAAGTGCATATACGATCCAGCAATAGATCCGGTTTAAATTCTCCTCATCAATACTCAAAAAAAAAAAAAAAAAAAAAAAAAAAATCATCAACCTTTAAAGAAAAAGTGCAAAAACTTTAAAGCAATTAAATGATAACTTAATGTACAAATAATTTTTAAAAAAGAATAATGTAGGAATAACTCAAACTTGCAATACTTGTAACCACAGCACCTTATTTTCACCTTTTTGACGATGATACCCTAAAACACTGTTTACAGATTAATTATTTTTGGTGTAAACCATTAGTATTCGGATCTTATTATCAATGATCGCCTAATCTGATTTACGGCTTAGTCACAGTTAAAGCTCATCTCCCCTCTTTGTAAGTACGTTTAGTGAAAATCGAATCCAATAGCTCTTTTCACATACTCAACCTACGTTGTCAATTAAGCCACAACCCGTAGATTGAAGGGACGTAATTTGATAGTGCTCACAAAATCAAGTAATGATTAATTATTAACCATATGAATTTAATCGTGTGGATCACCGCTTGCGTAGATAGTATGATCATCATTATTCATATCTTAAATTGATTGTAGTTTCACTTATTAATTTTCCTTTCGAGAGTTTAATAAAGGATTCATGAAATTTACTTTTGATTTCATATAATTAATAAATATAATTTCATCTTTCAACAACTGCATTATTACATTATATATGAAGAAATGTGTCTATTTTTCCTATTAAAAGTTTTATTTTTTTCAATACTTATTGAACTTATTAAATTATATACTAATATATAATAATATAAATATAATACACAGACATATAAGTACACATAAGAATTCCTATCAAAATAAAAAAATATTAAGTTTGTTATAGTTTTTTTATCCTTCTCTATGTATATAAAAATTTGTAATTAAGTAATTAAAAATCAATAATTATTTTTTTTTTTTAGAAAAGTAAGTTTGTTTAACTAGTATTTTGCATAGGATAAAGAGCTCAAAGAATTTTTTTTTTTTTAAATATAATTCATTAATGATAGTATCAAGAATTATAAATAAGCATATAAACCAAACATATAACTTTATCATTAGTAGCTAATAGAGTTCGTTCATCTTTCAATGAAATAAAGGAATTCATATCCTTTTGAAAATGAAATAAAAGGAATTCATATCCTTTTGAATAAGTAAAACTAAAATTAAAAATAAAATATTAAATCTTTTCACTTGGAGTTGATCTTGACAAAGATATAAATCTTTAAGAGTTGATCTTGACAAAAGATATAAATCTTAATAGTAGCAACTAGTTCATTAATTGATTTAACCATCAAAATAATAACTCCTTTGAATCTTCTATAACTTGATTGTTTTTCCAATAATTTGCAACATATAATGAATGCATATAAGTTTACGTTGTTATGCGTCAATAGCATAAATGGAAGAACATGCTGCATTACCAAACTCCATCAATTGAAGATCCACACCTACAAATCAAGATCTAAAGTCTCCAACCAAATAAAATCAAATATCATAGTTTTATTTAATAATAAATCCTTACAAAAAAAGGGACAAAAAACTCCAAATATGGAAATAACTAATAAAAACAAAACAAAAAAAGACAGATATATAGGAATAATATATCTGAGTTTATTAAAGTTAAAGAAGATTAAAAGCAAAAGAAAATGAAATGAAAGAAATAGTAAAAAGTATGAGTGAATGGCTACGCTGATAACCAACGGCAGTTCAAATTAGAACTAAAGTTAGAAAACTATAGAGAAAAGAGAAAGAGAATTATAACCGGTAAGAATAACTCTTATTATTGATAATTAGGAGCCAGGGGTTAAAAATTAATGATTTTTAGAACATTATTTCAAGTATTATTTAACAAACATTTCGAATTAATTTCTAAAAACTCAAATATTAAAGTCAAGTTCTTAACTACTTGTCTCCAAACGTGCTCTTATGTGAGAAAAGACAGGCTAACAAAGGGACTAGGATTTTTTAATTTTATATTTTTTGAAAGGAAGGGATTGAGATTTATTTA